CAGCAGCAAGCAACACAGCAGCAGCACGAACACACAAACAGCCAATAGGCACCAGCCTGCTCACCTGCATGGCTATTACTACTTGGTGTCATCCACCACAGACGCTTCCTACGTCACCTCTAGCATGGAACTTGAAGGACCCACGCACTGCCAGCAGCCAACATGGTATAATAGCGTAGCAGCTACATTTATTTGTATTACAGCAGCAGCAGCAGCACAGGACTACTACCGTATATGCCACAAGATAACACACCCCCTAGACCGATTTTTAAAGCTCGATTACTACATTTTCGAAAAGCTCTCGACGAGACAGTTTCAACGCCGCCATTTTCGGCGCTGTGACTGTTCCTGCAGTTGGGAAATCGAACTTCGAAAATTGGTCAAGGGGGTGTGTTATCTTGTGTCATATACGGTACTACCTGTCCAAATGTCTACCTGTCCAAATGTCAACCCTCTCCTCCAAGCGTCATAGATAGGCGCACACATAACCTATGGCAAGTGCAGTTGCTGCACGTGCGTCTCGCTCTGTGTGTATGTGTATGGCTCTCTCTCTCTCTGTGTGTGTGTCTCTCTCTTTCTCCTCGAATTCGTGTCATCATGCTGTGTCATCATGCTGTCGCTCTCGACACGCAGGAATCAAACTGCTGCGGGGGCACGGAAACCAAGCATACCTGCCTTTTACATATTCTTCATTCGTAGGGGAGGGGGGGAATCCAAATTCAAACCGTCTGCCGGACCACACCACACCAGTGGCAGCAGTGCTTTTGTTGTTGTTGTTGTTGTTGTTGTTATTGTTGTTATTACATTAAAAACCGTCCCGATCTCTCGGTCCAGTACCTTCTTCTGTCCGTACTACCGTAGGTTGCATAAGATACCACACCCGTGTGATAACATTTTCGGGGGGACAAAAGTTATCACACGGGTGTGGTATTCTGTAGGGGGTGTGATATCTTATGTCACCCGTGTGATAAAGTGCACTCACAGAGCCCCACCAACAGGGGGTGTGATACCGTGGCCCGTGTGATGAAGCGCGCTCACAGGACCCGGCTTGCAAGGGGTGTGATAACGAGGGGGTGTGATGACGAGGGGGCGTGATAACAATCGGGTGTGATAACTTAACCTGTGTTGTGAAGCATGCACGCAGGACCCGGTCTGCTGGGGGTGTGATAATGTCGCCCGTGTGGTTGCAGTGCACTCATAGGACCCTACTTACGGGGATGTGATAATAATGTCACCCGAGTGATGCAGCTCAAAGGAGGCACCCACCTATAAAGGGCGTAAAGGGGTGTAAAACAGGTGTGATAGCTAGGGTCACCCACGCTACTCCACCCCGTACATGCTTTCCCACGTGCATTGTCGCAGTATATCCTTTGGAAAATCTTCGCATACACAACGAACACGTAGTACCGATGCCTCATAGCGGTTGTGCCGGTGTTGTGTGCGGTCGTTCTGGTGTTGTGTGCGACACAACGACAGCACACAGGTACGTGGACGACGCAACGACTTGCAAGACTCGCGTTCACCACTCAAGCTGGAACTACATAGGCAAGCAAGTGCCAGCTATATCTCAACCAAAGCTAGAAACAACATCCAAAGAGGACAAGCGACTACCGAAACATATGGAACACCGGACAAATTGGCTGGAATCGCAGCTTTGGTTGACTTGACCATGACATGCAACTACGGTAGGTAGATACCAGACAAGACACTCAGTCCATGCAAACAACGTCCGCCCCCGGCAAGTCTGCCATTACCTCAACCTCCGGGCCATCGATGCCTTCGCTATCTCCCGTGCTGTCATCGTCGATTTCCAACACCTCCAACAAGTAAGCCATCGTCTTCCCCTCCTCCGATGGGCCAGCCTCCTCCACGCCGGCAGTAGCCGCGTCGCCGTCTGCATGAAGTGGTTTCCCTTGGGCGTCGGAGTTGAGCTCCTTGTTGGCCCACGCCTCGTCTTCAGACCCATCGAAGGCAAGGGTCATGCCAGCCTTCCTCCAGCTCGAACGGATGCTCTCAGTGTACACTTCATCCCACGCTTTCTTCACCCACTGCGCGAGCAATCCCCTCGATGGGGGCTCCGGGTAGCCGCGGTCGTTGCGCACGGCGTCGGTGGAGGCCATATGGTCGTCGTACAGCCTTGACATGTTGGACTTGAAGAGTTTGTTGATAAATCCATCGCAAGGCTGGATCTTGGGCGTTGGGCCTCCGGGGACAAAAAACAGCGTTTTGTTGGACTTGTCCATCGCTTTCTTGCACAGGGCTGTCTTGTGCACTGTGTGATCGTTCCACGATAGCAGCGTGTCCGGCTGATAGTTGTTGCCCAGGACCCCCTCACGACCCGGGCGCCGGTTCCATACTTGGGGGAGCCAGACATCCCTGAAGACGCGCTGCGTGCGCCACGCCTTGTCGTCCGCGGCGTACACAACGCTCTGAGGGTATGCTACCCCCTTCTTGTCCTTGCCCACCTTAAACTCTCGTTCGACGCTGTTTGCAGCGGGGGGTTTTCCCGGCGCCGTGGGCTTGCCCTTGAAGATGAGCAGCGGCGGGAGTTTGCCGCCCTTCATGTTTGCGGCAAGGACAGCAGTGATCCGCAACTTTTCCTTTCCACCGGTTTTGATGGCCACCTCTTTCTGACCAGTGTGCTGCGAACGACAAAAATAAAAAGCAAAAAGCAATAGAGACAGCAGAGGCGACGAAAAAACTCCATTGTGTAGGTGAGAATGACAGCTCTTCACGCACAAAGTAACATACTAGTTTTGCAGTACAGTGATGATGGAAGCGAATGGTAAGAAAATTCTAACGCGGCATAAGAACAATACCAGCATCGTCTAGCCTTACTGGCTGGACACTGAGTAGGTATACGGCAAGAAATATGGCATCACAATGCCCACTGTTTGCGGAATGCCAAGAAACGACAAGACAGGCACATGATTCAAAGCAACACTATTTGTGCTCGCTGCCACGGTCGACGTGCCAGCGGCCTCCAACCACACAGCAGTTTCATCCATGCTGTAGCTCTGCTCCTCCTTGAACAACANAATGCCCACTGTTTGCGGAATGCCAAGAAACGACAAGACAGGCACATGATTCAAAGCAACACTATTTGTGCTCGCTGCCACGGTCGACGTGCCAGCGGCCTCCAACCACACAGCAGTTTCATCCATGCTGTAGCTCTGCTCCTCCTTGAACAACAGAGGTGGCTTCGAAGGCGCACTGCTCGCTGCCCCCCCCGTGCCCTATCCCCCCCCACCGTCGATTCCTCCGTGACGAGGCGCCCTCCATTCCTTGACGGCTTTCATGGCAATCGCAGGCCATCCGGAAGGGATGTTTTGGCCTTGCCTGGTAACCGCCCGGAAAGACAACCGATTCTTCATGAGAAACCTCTGCACCAGTGAGTCTGCTTGTTGCGGTACTTTCTTCTGCCCTCCAGGTCGTTCGCTGCAGGCCTCGGGCCGAACCAAGGCGAGTTAAGCGATACCGCCTTGGTCTTGATCATCCTTGTAGAGACGCGGGCAGAGATGGCTTCCGAACTAACATCTTTGATCCAGTCGAGCAGTTCGAGCTCGGCCTCCGCGTTTGACCGAACCCTCCCCGTGTTAAACGACTTTACGCTTCGGGCTGGTCTGCCTTGTCCAGCTGCTTCTCGAATTCGTTCTGTCTTGTATCCACGCTGAGTGTGTGATCTTCTCGTTGCGCATGAGACACACCGATGGTTCCGCTAGGCCCCTGCGCCCCCGGGCTGTGCATGGTCGCGTACTTAAATGGTGTTTACTTTGAGTTCCAAATCGTGCCGCTTGCGTTTCTGGCCACCACCAAACTTCATGGGGAAGTTCGGTGGCTCCAATTCCAGCGGCTCTCTTTTCCTCTTGCCCTTGCCCTTGCCCTCAGCCGGCGTGCCGTCGAGACGCCCACCAAAACCATCTGTCCACTCCTCTGACTCTCCAGGAATCATGGTGTCGCCGACGGGCGCCCCTGCGGCTGCTGTCGTCGGTGCTTCAGGCAGCTGCACGTTCCTGACAAGCGCATGAATTCGAGGAAGCAACGAAACATGTAGCATACGTGTCGTTAAGCGCTGTGCCTGTAACAATGCGCTTGCTCCAACGATCATCAGACAAACGCACCAAAAATACGATGGCTAGCGGATAGCTCTGACAACGCCCGCCAGGTTGAGAGTCATGGCGTCCGCGCTTGCAACGTACAGAGGGTGAGCAGCTGACGCCGCCTATTTCGCATCTCACATAAACAGGCACGAACTGCTGTCGAGGTTATGTTTCTATTTGCACGTGTTGGGTACGGGTTTCGCAGTCTTCCCACCAAAACATCACAAACACAAAAAAAAACGGTATGCGGAAACGTGTCGTGTGTGTGAAAGAGAGAGCAAGTAATCATTGCGCCCACTACATGAGAACTACAAGTAAATATAATGTGTGGTCTACATGTCAAAATACAGTAAGGCGAGCGCGACGACACGACGTGGAAGTCACATTATTTTTTCCATCTGATAATTGAGCAGGCAATCAGGCGCGTCCTGTTCTTTGGTTTGCTTGAGCCATAAGAATCCTCACAGACACCCATGTGCTGCAAAATGCAAGACGCTCAGCGCCCGAAGCCTGCCGCAAAACTCCGGCATATCCTTCTCTGGCTCTGCCCACAAGAGCTTGTTGGTGCACGATGGTTCTCCGCAGCGCGGTGCTGCTGCAGAGTTCTCAGCAGAAGCCGCGCTCAGGGTGTTGGTGACTGGCGAGAGAGCTGCCTTTTCGGGTGTGGGTGCTGTGAGACTCTCAACAGTAGGTTCTGCTTCGCGGGTTTCAGCGGCACCCGCGGTGGCAGGCGCAGCCGGTGCTGTGGGAGTCTCAGCAGCGGTAGATTCTGTTGGGCGGGCCTCAGCAGTACGTGCCGTGTCATGCGCGGCTGCTGAGGGAGTCGTCCCAGCAGCCCCACGTTCCCTCGGGGCGGGTTCAAAGGAGGACGCTATGGAGCGTGGGGCCGCCGCTGGAGTCTTACCCACTGCAGTCTGAGCCGCGGGGCTTTCAGCAGGGTTGCCAACTGCACCACCCTCCACGGCATTGTTGGCCTCCATGGCCTTTGCGAGTATAGGTTGTTGCTTGTGATCTCATCCCTCACGTTTTCACACCGTGTGAAAAGCGGGGGCTCCGTCGATAAAATACGGCCCAACTTCAAGGGTGTGGTATCTTATGTCACCGTGTGATAAAATGATGATTTTTACGGGATTGAAAAAAATAGCACACGGGTGTGATATTGTGTACGTTTTCTGAGGGGGTATGGTATATAATGAAAAGTGTGATATCTTATGCAACTACCTAACACTTGACGTGGTCGATTCCCGTGGACACAGGCTAACTTACCCAAAAACGGTATACGAAAAAAAAATGGACCCGAAGGGTCTGCAAGCCAATAAAGGTCAACGACGGCTAGTCTTGGCCACTCCGCTCGCCTCTACAAGCTATATCTGCGAGATAAAGCTAACCCTTCATTGGAAAAACATAGCAAAGAAAAAGAAGAAAGAAAAAACAAAGCACTTTTATGGACCCTAGCTACTGTCGGAGACAGAGGCCGGTGCCTTGGCAGTATTATCCCACTGCCAGGGGAAGGCTATTTCCTCTCGTGATATGTAAACGAGGAGAAGAGGGTAGAAAGAGAGAGTGGCCAGAGAGAGCAGAGGGGAGAGGAGAGTCGAAGACTCTCCGCTTCTCCTTTCGGCAAGTAGTGGCCATGGACTTCGGAAGAGACAAATCTCCGACGGTGCGTTTCTTCTCACTCTCCCAGTGACAAGATACCCCGATGGAGCTATATCTTCCTACACTTTGTATGTGCACTCATGGTTGGTTATACTCCCGACAGGTGTCCTCCACATCACCCCCCCCTCTATGCGCCACAAGTCCATCTGTGCTAAAGATGTGCTTTTGGCGGTCAGAGACATGAGTGGCTCATGGAGACACATGTATCGGAGTTAACCTACCAGGTACAACATCATCAACTCGGCCTGATCGTCGTACAATGCGTGTTAAAAAAACAAGGAGTCTTCAGACAGAGTAGTGATAGATGTGGTCCATACTAGTATAGTCTAGAAAAAAAAAAAAAATGAGTACTGGGCTATCATGGTGACAGCTAGTGTACTGTAATATTTCGCGTGATCATGCTTGTGTAGCATGCTATGCTGTGGGGCTGATGAGGGATAACTTGTAATTAGGTAGCCCTCTGGCAAGTTAATCTTTCATCATAGTTAAAAAAAATGTTGATGAGCGATACAAAACTTGTAATGAGGTTACCCTCCGGCAAGTCTGTCTACTCATCATACAAAAAGATTTCGGTGAGGAATAAACTTGTAA